TCAGGGAAGGCCTGCATAGTTACCTTTGACTGAAATTATTATTATTTTTTTTTAAATTTATTTTTGCATAGAAGAACTGGGGTACTGGCCAGAGGTGTGGGGGATGAGATGATTCACCTGAGACAGAGCGGGGAACAGAACAGGTGGAGTGACTGAAATGCACTGCTGAGGGGAGCAGCAGGCAAGACAGAAGAGGTCTGCTGTGCCATGTGGGTCAGTCTGCTGCACCATGTGGGTCACCTCCTGGTCTTGGATCCAACTCAGGCCTTAGCAGTGATAGTGCTGACTCTTAACCCCTAGATCCCCAGAGATGCCCTAGATTTATTATTGACTTAATGATTTATGTATGATAAGTAGGTTTATACAGTATGCAAGATTTATCAACTGTATCGATAATGAAGATCCATGTTAAATATAGCTTGTATGTACAATGTATAATTTAATGTGCTATGTATTATACACAGTTATATGTACTTGTTTATATACCCGGGACATATCATTTAATGTATGATATGCATATAATGTATTATGTAACATTAATACATGCAAGTAAGAATTTGTAGTACAGGGACTCTAGCATTAGATGCTTCTGCTGTTCCTATTAAAAATCCAGGGCCTGGGCCCTCTCTGCTGGCGTGACAGGTTAAAGTGCAGCACTATGAAGCTTTCTGTGGCTGCTGCAGCAGAAGTTCCAGCCAGGGAGCTGACCCACATGGCCCAGCAGACCTCTCCTGTCTCACCTGCTGCTCCCCTCAGCAGTGTGTTTCAGTCAATCAGCCTGTTCTGCTCCCTGCTCTGCTCTGGTGAATCCTCTCACCCCCACATCTCTGGTTTGTACCCCCGTTCTTGTATGCATAAATAAATCTTAAAAAATTAAAAGAAATACAAAGTCCTGGACTCTGACACTAGAGACACCGAACCTACAGACGGGCAGTGGGGTCCGTGGCCCCAGTCCCTCCATGGAGGAGGCCTTTCCTTGAGGCTTCCCCTGCTTGGCTGAGGGTTCTTGGACTGAAATGGTAACACAGTTACTCTCTCACAAGCCTCATGCCAGGACACTTCACCAGGAAACAGTGCATGGGACATTCATGGTATCATTTCCTTCCACTGTTTCTAGTAAATAACATTGTCAGCAAACTTTTGTCAGATGTGCAATTGTCAGAGGCAGAGGACAGCAGATTGCTGTGGGCACCGCCCTTCCCATTGTTCCTTGCATCAGCGCGTCCCTCAGTATCTGAGGGGTCCAGCACCAAGCTGGGGTGTACCAACACCCTGGAAAGCTCCAAGACCCTAGTTCAAATGGTATCTAGGAAATAGTGACCAGGAAACAAGAGTCTGCATATTCACTCCAGATGCAAGCGACCAGGGTGGAAATTTCCATCAAAGGCTGAACCCAAGGATGCAGAATCACTGGCTTCTGGATCTATTTCATGATCTGTATTCCATGCAGACGGGGCTGCCTGTGCTTCTCTCCTTATTCTTCTCCCCTCCCGGTCCCCGAAAATCCTCTTGCAGACTGCAAATTCCACCTGTGTGTCTCTTGTGTGGTAACAAAGTGGTTTACTGGCCACTGCAAAGCATTGCATCAGTTTACTCTAAGAATCTACAGTTGAATGGGGAAATGAAACATTCATCCTGCCTTTCCTTACAAACCATCTTCAGGGTAACCAAAGAGCCTTAATACAAGAAAGCAAACTGACAAGTCTTGCAACTGAAATGTTCTCAGGACCAAACGACCCTATGTTGGCAATGAATAGTATCAATACATAAGTGATGCGAGGAGGATGGACTATTGGAGATTAAAACAAATTAAAGTCTTTTGGGCTTCCTTGGTGGTGAAAGGGGATAAGCCTCAGCATTATGAAGCAATCCACAGCCACTGCAGCACGAATTTCAATCCCCAGCCAGGGAGCTGACCCACATGACCTAGCAGACCTCTCCTGCCTCACCTGCTGCTCCCCTCAGCAGTGTACTTCAGCCCATCTGCCTGTTCTGTTCTCCACACTGTCTCTGGTGAATCCTCTCACCCACTACACCTCTGACCTACACCCCAGTTCTTGTATGCATACATAAATCTTTAAACAAACAACAAACAAGCAAATGTACAAATTTAAAAGACTTTTGTCTTGGCCACTGACCCAGACTGAGGAAAACTTGGAAACTTTGGGGTCACATGAGCCGTGAGCACAGCAGCATCAGCCAGCCCCCAAGAGGCCATGGCAACACTGGTGGCACTGTCACCATAAGATCAACTTCGACAACTGTCACCCAGGTTACTCTGGGAAAGTTGGTAGGAGGTGTTACCTCACAAAGAGGAAATGGAGCTTCTGACCAACTGTCAACCCACATAAATTTAGGACCTTGGAGAGTGAGCAGACGTGGGCAGGCACTGCCAAATGCAGGGCTGGACCTATTGCTACCACCGATGCAAATTGCTACTGCAGAGTTCTGAGGACAGGAGAGATCCCCAAACAGGCCTGATTCTTCAGCAGAGCTGCTGGGGAAGGCTGGGGGGTTGGGGGGGGGGGGGAAGAGGTGTCCTAGTAGGTTAGACACGAGACCCAAGTGCTTTCAAACCACAAAAAGACTTAAGAGACAATAACAGGCAATGCATAAATTTTCTTTGGATCCTGATTTGAACAGATCACCTATAGATTGGACATAGCTGAACAGTTCATGTAATTTGAACATGGCCTGGGTGCTACATGACCCCACAGCTATTGGTAACAATTTGAGTGTACAATGGTTCATGGTTATATGTAAAAAGTTCCATCTTATACAATGGAACAAAGAAAGTTTGTTCAGCAAATGGTGCTGGGGAAACTGGGAAGCTACATGCAAAAAATGAAACTAGATCACGACCTCACTCCATGCACAAAAATCAACTCAAAGTGGATTAAAGACCTAGACATAAGAACAGAAACCATAAAATACCTGGAAGCAAAGATGGGTCAAACACTACATGACATACACTTGAGTGACATCTTTAAAGATAGAGCACCCAATGCCACAATAATGAAGGCAAGGACAAATAGATGGGACTACATCAAGTTAAAGAGCTTCTGTGCAGCAAAAGAGACATTACAAAAAACAAACAGACATCCCACTGATTGGGAAAAATTTTTCTCACACAAAACTAGTGATAAATGATTAATCACAAAAATATACAGAGAACTGACGAAACTCAATAAAAATAAACAACCCCATCAAAAAATGGACAGAAGAGCTAAAAAGACACTTCTCCAAAGAGGTAATGCACATGGCCAACAAGCATGTGAAAAAATGTTCAACATCACTCGTTATAAGGGAGATGCAAATTAAAACCACAATGAGATACCACCTCACCTCAGTGAGAAAGGCACATCTTCAAACAACTAGCAACAACAAATGTTGGCGAGGATGTGGAGAAAAAGGAACTCTCCTGCATTGCTGGTGGGAATGCAAACTAGTACAACCACTATGGAAAACTGTTTAGAGGTTCCTCAAACTGCTTACCATGGAGCTTCTCTACGACCCAGCAATCCCACTCCTAGGTATCTACCCAAAAGACACAAAAACACTGATTCAAAAAGATACCTGCACCCCCATGTTTACTGCTGCTTTATTTACAATTGGAAAGACATGGAAACAGTCCAAATGCCCAAAAGTGGATGACTGGATTAAATAGATGTGGTACATATACACAATGGAACATTACTCAGCAACCAAAAAAGAGGAACACATGTCTTTTGCAGCAACATGGATGGAGCTGGAGAATATCATGCTTAGTGAAATAAGCCAGAAAAAAAAGGAAAAATACTGGATGGTTTCACTCATAGTAGGAGTATAACGGACCAGGCGAGAAAATAATAATAATAATAAATAGCCATATACCAGAGACATTTTATGGGGGTGGAGTAGGGAATGGTATCAAAAACAGTGGGGGGAGGGAAATGCACTGGACTATGGTGACGGTACATGGGTGATTTGGTGATGGGAAGCCCATGGGGGTTACAACTGAGATGACAAAATACACAAAATGATGTAAAAATAAACTATTATATATATATATATATAAAGTTCCATTTTAAAGAATGAGATTCATACTTAATGTAGGGGCGAGGTCTGGGATTTGCCTTAACATACTCAAGCCAATGGAAAGAAATAGGAAAAAGACGCATCTTGATAACTGCTGACCCTGAATGTGGGGTGCATGGGGTCGATGAGGGCTCATCAAGCTATTTTCTTTGTGTTTTTGAAAATGTCTATAAATGAAAGCACTGAAGTATTCCATATTGATCACACATGCTGGATAAAATATGACAACACTATACCATGTCTTCACATACAGTGGGATTACTCCACCTCTCCCATCAGGTAGAATAAATTATCCTGGACCCTCCCTGGTGGCACAACAGGTTGAGGCACAGCACTATGAAGCTATCCGCAGCCACTGTAGCATGAGTTCCATTGTCCACCAGGGAGCTGACCCACATGGCGCAGCAGACCCCTCCTGTCTTGCCCGCTGCTCCCCTCAGCAGTGTGTTTTGGTTCTGCTCCCCACTCTGTCTCTGGTGAATCTTCTCACCATCACCCCCACCCCCGCCTACACCTCTGGCCTGTATCCCAGTTCTTGTATGCATAAATTAAAAAAACCTTAAAAAAAAAGAATAAATTATCTTAACATTTTTTAGAGAAGCAGTTGAAAGCAAAACACAACTCTAACTTCAGGCTTAGAGGTCTCGCCCAGAAGCTTTAGACACTGACCATCTCACTGAGGCACTGTATTTTTAAAATTTTTTTTGACATGGAAGAAAGCTCTCCCCCTCTTCCCTAGGCTACCCAGGTTCTTTTAGTTTTTAAAATTTATTTACGCATACAGAAGTGGGGTACAGGAGAGAGGTGCATGGGAGAACAGGCAGATCGATGAAGTCCACTGCTGAGGGGAGCAGCGGGCAGGTCAGGAGAGGTCTGCTGGGCCATGTGGGTCACCTTCAGCGCTGGGGATTGAAGCAGCTGCAGCTAGCTTGCAATGCTGTGCTGTACCCTGTTGCGCCACCAGGGAGGTTCTGCCCAGATTCTTTTTACAAACATCTGTCTTAGAATGAAGCTAATATGTTCTCACATAATTTGTCACAGTGCTTATTTCTCCACCAGGCTGACCTGGGAGAGATTTCCCCTCTACATTTTATAAACCTGCCCCTGCCTCATGGAAGATAGTGTCCACTCCATCTTAAAATAGAAAACATAAAACAAAGCAGGTCTTAAAATCTCGTAGGCCTTCCCTCGCTCCTCATTACATCCGTAACGATGAATCTTTATTTCTGTGTTGAGAAAGAATGTGAAAGGGGAAGGGTTTGCCAAAGTCAGATATTCATGGTCAGTACGCACACATTCCCTCCCACACACGCATTCCCAGTTCTCAAGTGTCTATGAAGAATAGACATGAAGCAGTGAAGTGACAAAACCAGAGACTACAAATGCTCATTCGCCTTCATTCATAACATTAATTTATAAACATTGTGATTTATAAATAATCAAGGCTGCTGTTGCACCTACATCTGTACCCTGCATCCAAATGTCCTGCCCCTGGAACGGTCACTCACCCTCTTCAGAGCCAGTTTGCACCTCCAAAGAAGAAGTTCATTTCCCCCCAATTCCCTGAGTTCACACCGATTCAATTCTGCAGGCCCACCCACCGTGCCCAAGGAATGGGCCCACTGTTCCTGGGTGGGCACAAAGGTGAAGGGCAACGGAACCAGCATCGTGGCAGGGCAGCACCCCGGGCCAGGGCAGCGCATCCCCTGTGCGAGAGGCCAGTCTATCGTCCTGTGTGTCCTGTTGAGTGATTTCCCTGTCAACAGACTTGAGTCTAAAGGTAGACTTGTCTCCAGCAGTCCCCTGCAGACCCGCGGAGGGGCTACCTCAGTGGCAGGTGCCCAGCTGCTCAGAGCGTCCCATACACACTGACTTTGGCCAGGGAGATGCTCTCCCAGTAGCGGTTCCGGCCCTTCTCATACAGGATGAAGAGCTGGGGGGGCTGGTTCACCCTACCCGCGCCGCCTTCCAGGGTTGCCAGCGATGAGTAGCCACTGGGCCCTGGCCACACCTGGATGTTCTCCTTCCGCCATGAGGTGCCATTGCTGAAACTCCAGCGCAGGGTCAGGTTCACGCCTGTGGAGAGCAGCAGAGTTAGGGGAGGGCATCTCCCCATGCCCCGGGGTCCCGGGTCACCCCACCCTGCAGACACTCACGGGACTCCCTGTGGGCTGGGTTGGAGAAGAAGATGATGCCGGAGTTGGTGGCTACGGCTCCCGCGGCGACCACTGGGTCTATGAGCTCAGTGTCGAAGGTCACGTCACGCAGCTTCAGCGTGTCACAGCCGTCGTAGCTGCGGAGGACGATGCGGCAGCGGCAGTGGTAGTTGTTCTGGTTCCGGGCATTGATGACAACTGAGCCGTCCGGGAGTTCATAGGGCTGAGGAGAGAGAACTGGGGTTCAGAAGTTCCAGCGGGTGGGCAGGGTACGGGCCAGAGGGAGCAAGTCTGGGAGGGGGCAGCCAGAGCTCAGGTCTGTGAGTGCAACAGAGCCCTGGAGGCTAAGACTGGCTGAGTGGGGAAGCCACTGGCAGGTTCCTCACCTGACACTCATCAGGGTTGAAATCGTTGTTGCGCTTGGGCTGGTCGAAAGGGATGCCGGTGATCCCACCGCCGTAGTGCCAGGAGGCACCGTGGTCATCGCTGACGAGGCAGAAGACCCCATCCCGCTCCAGCGTCCCGTGGCCACACACAATGAGCCGGTCCTTCTTTGGCTCCCGCTGTTTCTGTGGGAAAGAGATGAGTGTCACAGAGGGGCTCGGAAGCTGGAAGGGACCCAGCTATCACATGTGAGGACACTGTCTGGTCCCCTTCAAGACTGTCCTTGCTCACCGAGGGATCTGGAAGGATCCCACAAACAACTACTATGTGATTTAAGAAGCTCTTGTGGCCCTCCTTGGTGGTGCAAAGGATTAGGATGCAGTAAGCTAGCCACAGCCGCTTTGGTACAAGTTCGATCCCCAGTCCCAGAGGTAAACCACATGGTGCAGCAGACCTTTCCTGACTCGCCCACTGCTCCCCTCAGCAGGGTATTTCAGTAGATCTGCCTGTTCTGCTCCCCACTCTCTCACTAGTGAAGCTCCTCACCACCCCTGCTCTCTGCCCTGTACTCCAGTTCTGTATGCATAAATAAATACATCTTTAAGAAAAAAGCTCTTATGCAGAAGATGAAGGTCATGCACAGAGGGAATGCACAGGCACACACACCCCACTTACCAACCTGTGCACCATGACACAGAACTGTCTGCTCAGAAGAAGGGGTGCCTTTTCCTACCGTGCACAGGATCACAGGGACAGCCCTGCTGACAACCCTCATGTGGGAGACAGTGCCAAAGTCCCCTCTTCCCTCTGGCGGGTGTTCTTTCTAGCATGCCCTTTTCTCCCACAGAGTCCATTCTAATCAGGAGATCTGACCTCATAGGACCTTCTTGTGAGGAACTTTAAGGGGATCTTCCACTAGAGAGCCCACCACCCATCTCAGGACAGACCTGAATGCCAGAGCCGGGGCCAGGGGCAAACATCTCAGTGCCGATATCCACAGAGAGGTTCCGGGGAGGGCTCCAGGAAACACCATCGTCCTTACTCCATATCAACATGGTGGAGGATACCTGGCAGCCAATCTTGTGAGCACAGTGCGCGTAGAAAAGAAATATCGTTCCTGTCTTATTATCGCTCACCACTGCGCCCAGGTTCAGGCCATCCGTGGATTCCCCATCATTTACAATGAAGGCTGTAGGAGACCATGTGCTGCCTGAAGAAAACAGGGAAGAAACCTGAGGTGAGCACGCTGGAGACGCCCATTCACCACTCCCTGTTAGTTTCTACATTCCGCTAGAGACCCAAGGCCTAGGGTGTCACTGGACCTGCCCCTTCTTTCCTCTGTTCATATCTACTCTATCCTTGCTCACTCCACCTGCCACACATGCTCCTTCCTAGTTCTCAGTAACTTCTCTCCTGGGGCTGGTTACATCTGCCTGGTGCATTCTTCCTCCAGACTTATTCTTTCACCTCCTTTGAGTTTTTGCTCAATTATCACTCATCTAAAATTGCAGTCAAATGCTGACATGCCTCACACCTCTTCCCCTACTTTTCTTCATTGCATTTCCCACCTTCCAACACATGCAATAAATTTACTTAATTAGTCCCCAGCAGAACATAAATTCTAAGAGCAACAGGATTTTTGCTCTGTTTTGTTCATAATTATTCACAGAACCTGAAACAGTGCCTGGCACATAGTAGGTGCTCAATAAAAATCCGAATAATTGCCATTTCCAGATCACTGCCTGGGACATTTTCCTTCATGAAGTTCTCTCTAACTGCTAAGGACCCAGGCCTCCAACTCTCCATGTTTCACTATTCTCTGGACCCATGGGCAGGTCAGGCTCTTCCAGCTTAGCATTAACTCTTGTACCCTGATCCGTGGACCTCCGCAGAGCGATGAATTTGGCCCCCTTGTCTACATCAGACAATTTTCTGGCCTCAGCAAAGGCAAGGAGAGTGCCCCGAGGAGTGACTGTGATGAGAGGGATGCGGTAGGTGTCCACAGATCCAATCAGCTTCCCGCTCACCCACAGCAGCTGCTCCATAGTGACCAGTGGATTCACCTGAGATGAAAGAGAGGCAGGTCAATAAGAAGAAACTTGGTTTGGGGTTTCAGAACAAATGGATTGAGACTCAGGCTCAAGTTCCCCTGGGAGAGGCAGGCTGATGGGATCAGGAGCCCTCAGCTTTGTTCTCTGGATTCTCCTTGTTCTGCAACTTCTACACTCACTTCTTAGGAGGGGAGTGGGACTTCAAATAGGGAAGAAGCTCAAACCTAGGAGACTCTGGAGGAGAAGTGCAAGGGCCGGGAATGGAAAGGGGAATGGGAGTAGTGGAACGAATGGGATATGAGACAGACGGCGGAGCCTCACAGAGAGAAGGCTCAGCAGTCCTGTCCTGGAGGGCCCAGGGCACAGACCCAGACGCGAGGGTCGGGAACTGGGCTGTGCGACTCACCAAACTGAAGTCGTTCTTTGCAGTAGCACCGACCCCTGCCAGCGACAGCAGCAGGGAGAAGATCCCGACAAATAACTGCACACTGCATCCTCCAAAAGTCTCTACCAGCCGCTGTGCCCCGCGTCTGCTCTGGCGCACTGCGCCAGCTCTCTCCTCGGTCATCTCTCCCGTGCAAAGATCCCGATCCAGACCCCCAGGAGGAGACCTAGTTTGGAGTTTGTCAGCTGACTCTGGCCCTTTAAACATTCAGGTGTCACCCGCACCCACCCAGCCCGCCCAGAGCTCGCAGCACCCGGCCCCACTTCCGCCATTCTCATTGGCCCTCACAAGTCTAACTTTTACGTCACCCGCCGGTGCCCCGGGCTTGCCCTTCCTATTGGCCGTCTTCGTAGGTCTGGAGCGCGTGACCCAGTGAAAAGCGCCGCGGCCGGAGTAAAGGGGCGGGCATTACTCCCAGGGAGCCCTGTGATTGGCCCCGGCGTCTGGGGGCGTCATAAGGGCGGGCCTGTTTTAAAGATGCAGGCGCGGGGCAAAAGAGGCGTCGTATTGTCTCGGATGGAATGAAGGTCCCAGACTTTTTGAGAAAACAAAATATCATTCTTTAATAAAATCATTTTACTACAAAATGGGGGTAGGGAAGGCTGTGGAGGGGAGCTGGGAGACGAAGAGCAGCCCCTGATGAGGATGAAGTTTCTCACTTCTTCGTCTTCTTGTTCCCCGAGGTCTCCTGATTTTTCTTGCCCAGAATCTTCTGAAGGTTCTTGGACATGTAGTAGGGTCGAGCCTGGGAGCCGTCGTTCCGCTCCAGGTCTTCCACTGAGCCAACATAGACCAGTAAAAATGGACCCTCGGGGATCACCCCCCCCCCC